AGTTGTTATAGTGTGGTGCAACATACGACTGATTAGTAACAAAATAATCTCTCCATCTAATGATATAATGAGGTTGATTATGTACCCTGACTAACTCAACAAGTGATTTACCATTAATGCCTGAAAGGTCATTGCCCTCCAATCTAAGAATGAAGTCTGTATATGCCACATTCATCCTACCACATTCCTCCATCATTTCATTAATAATACTACCTGATAAACTACAATGTCTCAGATCAATATGGACCAGGTGTGTTGAGATCTTCAAAAGGCAAGCTAATGTTCTTCCACTGATTGCAGATAGGTTAATCCTACTCATGTCTATATTTTTCCAATGCAATGTCTCATTCTCACCTATTGATTCAACCAGCCTTTCTAAATTTTCAGCTGTTAGAGAGCAATTTTTCCATGTGAAGGTATAAGACTGAATATTATACCTAAGTAACTCAACAAGCGATTTACCATTAATATCTGAAAGGTCATTGCCATCAAATCTGAACATGTTGCTTTTTAATACTACATTCATCTTATGACATTTCTCCATCATTTCATTAACAATACTACCCGATAAACTACAATGTCCCATGTCAATATGGATCAGATGTGTCGAGATTTTTAAAAGGCGAGCTAATGTTCCTCCACTGATTGAAGATAGGTTAATCTGACTCATGTTTATCCTTTTCCAATTCAATGTCTCATTTTCACCTATCGATTCAACCAGCTTTTCTAAATTATCAGCTGTGAGTGAGTAATCACTCCATGAAGTCAAATTACTTACCCTAACTAACTCAGCAAGTGATTTAGCATCAATATCTTGAAGGTTATTGCCAATCAATCGAAGCATGTTGTTTTTCAATACTACATTCATCCTCCCACATTCCCCAATCATTTCATTAATAATACTACCTGATAAACCACAATTATTCATTGCAACATGGATCAGTTGTGGAGAGATCTTAAAAAGGTAAGCTAATACTCTTCCACTAATTGAGCATAAGTCATTGTTACTTATATCAAGTTCGGTTAATTTCAACTTCACTTTAATTTTGTGTAACTTATTGATAACTACACTGAACAACGATGATGTAATAAGCCAGGGATATATATGTAATAAAGACAGGTTATTTGAATGTTTCAGGAAATGAATAAAAAATGATGATTTAAATTTGAAGCTTAAATTGACGGAAGTGAGATTGTAAGTCAAATCTAGGCTTTTCATCTCATCTGCTAGGACATTTATTTCTTTTTCTCCCCAATTCGAAATATAATTTAAAAATTGTTCTGTTTGATATACACTTGGTAGTACAACTGTGTTATGTACAATATTCCTGCAAATATTTTTTAAAGACTCTTCATCACATGTATTTATCAAAGGAAATGCATTTTGAACATCAATGTACTCAAGGTTATTATATGTACTTATAAGTTTGATTAAATGCACATTTGTTATGTCCTTCTCACCAAGAATACTTTTAACAGACTCACACATTTGCTCACAATGTTCTTTCATTTCATTGGACATGTGTTTATCCAATTCCTGTAGTACATGGTCTTCATACTCTTTCTTTACATGTCTCAAACACTGTGCTATTGAGTTATAATTTGAGGCCCTGATTATCAACCAATGTTTCAGCACCTTACAAGCATCAGCACCAAGAAATCCAATTGTAAATATTCTGGCCATATGTAAATACTCATTAGATCTTATCACCTCATATTCATCAGTGTTTAAAATCTCTTTTTGGCTTTGTTCTGACAGATATAATCCTGCTAAAGCCTCTGAAATTAACTTGTGCGGGGTTGTGTAAATCTCCCTTACATCACCTGGCTGAATAGGACTCTCTTCATACACAAATCCAAGGCTCAGTGCTAAACAAACCAATTTTTCATCCATTGCTTTTTTTGACAAAACATATTTGTCAACAGACAGTTTATTTTCCTTTAGACCTTCATACATACATTCTCCTAATATTAGAATAGCATTTCTGTATTCCTCAGGAATTCTCTCGAACTGGGAAATAGAACTTTTATCACCACTCCTGTTTTGATATTGATTTAAAATCGAACAAAATAGTTCCTTGAAAAGATCAGACAAATCTGTAGGAAGGCATTGTTTATGTTCCCATATGGTACAAATACTAAGCAATAACAGTGGAGATGAACACAATTCAAATGCTTCTTTGTGATCACCACCAATGCCACCACTTTCAACACACCTACCATAAAGATCATAACCATCATAACTATCATAAATATCATCATCATCATCATCACCACTATCATCACCATTATAATCATTATCACCATCATTGTCATCGTCACCGTCACCACCATCACCACCATCATCATCATCATCATCATCATCATCGTCTACAAAATTAGAAAGTCTGAACTCCTTAATTAGCGAGTCACCAACTTCAGCTTTATCAATTGAATAAAAATGCTTATGGATATATTCCTTTATTTTGCCTGGACTGAACCCCTTCACTTTTATATGTATGTCACAGCATTTGAGAAATTTAACTATGTTGTCTGGTCGGGACGACATCAACACAGTGCTTTTTCCTAATTCAGTTCTTTCGAATAGATGTATTGGATCTTTAGCATCTCTTTCTATCTCATCATATCCATCTAACAAAATGGCTATATCATCAGCATGGGTTACTAGGAAAGCTTCAACTGAATTAGGTGCCAATTGGTTCTCAAATATTAATGATTTTGAATCAATTTTCTTCATAATTATGTCTAAAAATGTTTCACTTGCTTTAATGTCTCTGACATTTATCAGAAACAGTAACTTATTAACAAAGGCATTATGTTCACCATCAGTAGCCCACTGATAGGCAATATATCGAAGGAGTGTGGTCTTACCCATCCCTCCTTTTCCTGTTATTAATACCTTACATGATTCAGTTGATTTTATAACATCCAATACCTCTGTTAATGATGTGGGTCTACCTTTCTTTGTTATAGATGTTGACTTGGCTTGCGATCCTTTGTCTTCTTTTTCAGATTGCATTAAGATGAGTTCAGTGAATACTTCTGCAATATCTACTTCATGATGTTTCTGCCAGATTGTTGGAGTCATGCGGTTGACATCCTGATACAATTGCTTCTGTCTCGTTGTCAAGAAATCTTTAATAATTACATCTGAAACAAATTAAATCAAGCAACAATAATACATTTCTGCTATAATTTATAGAAAATATTTCTGACATAATTTAAGAGGTACACCATATTACTGTAATTCATTAGTTTAGCACATAAGTATTATCAGGGCAAGTATTTCATTTGCAGAAACAGTAGATTACATACTGTAAATACTTTCATTTTATTGTGAAAAAATTCAATCAACATTAATTAGAAGCTTTCCAAAATGTGATTTTAACAAAAGTTTTAACATAGCTCCTAACTAATGTTGATGATAGTACATTACGTTTGCTATTCACAAAAGAATAATCTCTATTGTGAATAAGCAAACACAAATAACAATGTTCATCAATTTGTTTGGCTTGTTTTGACCACATAACAAAACATTTTTAATAATGCACATGTGTAAGAAAGACAAAAATGAACAGATTGAGTGCGCTGCACAGCGTAGTGTTTGTGCAATTTCATTATCTGAAAAGGGTGTATAAAATTGAACTTTTTTAAACGATCAATCATTAGTGAAATACTATTAAAAATACATTCCCAATTTATGCATAACACTTTAGAAATAAGTTCCCAATTTATGCATAACACTTTATAAATAAAGATATGTCCAGTATCAAGCATATTTATTTAATGAATTTTAACAAGTATTTGATACAGCAGGTACCAGTATTTTCTTCAGTTTAGAAAATGGAACACGCCAATTACCTGGGCCGGCTGTGTGCCCAGGCAGTTTTTGTTCTTGAATGCCTTTGATAAAACTAAAAAATTACAGAAGAAAATTTTATCTAATTAGATTAATTTTTATATATAACTGATCACAAGAAAATTTTCTTTAGTGTGGGCAAAGTCATGATGCTGTAAAGAAACAACTCCTCATAAGTAAGCTCAAATCCACTGAAAGCAAACTAATATCGCCTATATTGTTGTAATTCAACCCAAAAATGACGAGGCCAAATATTTGAAAACAATTGTTTGCAATAGCGATATTTATAACCTTCTATTTACCATTTCAACCTAATTCATCTGACCGTTAGTTTTTGAGTTACGGATTTTATAGTAAAATCAGTTGATGTTATTGAAGAAGCGCTAATGGTTACGAGATAGGGTGATTTTCACGGCGGCGCGTTTGCAGTAAAGTAGACCAAACAAATTAATAAAAAATTCTAAATCCTCCTCCCTCCTTCCTTCTATCAGTCAGCATCAATGTAAGCATCGTCAGGAAATTGTTTGCTAGTTTTCTTACAGTAGTTAAAAAGCCAATGCTGCAAAAATTGTATTCTTTGCCTTATTATAATTCTGCAACCCGTCAAACTTAACTACTGTACCTGACAACTCCGAAGGACTTCAATATCATAATCATAAAATGATTGTAGGCAAACATGAATTTTTTGAAGAAAAAAAAATTGGTTTCCACAATTAAATATGAAAATATTCTTCTGGTAAAACAGTATGCTTACTTTCATTGTAAATCATGGGCAAGGTTGAAGCATGGTGGCAAATTAATTCCACTAAGTGGATTAAAATACATCCTAGGCCACCTCATTTACTTAGCTAATTGATAGTTAGCCTGTGGGAATTTACAAGTGAACAAATTTACTTTAAACAAAGAAATCTGAATAAGATGGGAAATAAAACCAACAATAAAATTGCATAAAATGTGCAAGGACATCACCCTATAATTAGTATAAAAAAAGACTTAGCCCTGGGCTACCTTCACTGTACAGTACTCCCTATAAAGCCTACTAACTGTAGGTTTGTAAATGTAGAATTGTTTCTGCAAGACCAATACCCTCTATTTTTTTCATTACAGTAAAATTGCACTGCTTGTCATGCCATAATGCTTTGTTTTACTGCAAGCACATTCCACTTATCGCATTGGTGTTGCTCAGTAGACCTTAAAAATCTCACATACTGTTTTATTGAGTACACAGTACATACCTGGCTCTAACTTGTGTCTTTTTGATGTTGACACCATTCCACTACCTGTAAAGAAAAAGAAAATTGTACAATTTTGATAAAAGAACTGGATTAAAGCATAGCACAAATAGATAAATCCTGGTCTGTAAATCAGCTTATAAGAAATACTATAAATTTACACAGAACATAAAAAAACTAGATAACAAACCCTCGCACTGTTGCACCATATCTATGTACTGAAATATGCAAATATATCTGCCCCAGGCTGTACGTTGTTTTAGCTCGAGCTCATCCTTGTTATTACTCATATTCCACTTGTTTTTTTGTTACTTATAGCTTCAGATTGCCAGGTTAAAATAGTACATATTATTAACTGTACAAACCTTTGTCTAACATTTGTCTTTTTGTTGTTGATGCTTCTCCACTACCTACAAAGAATGGAAATTGGAAATGTGTGAACGATGGCGGGATGAAAAGATAAAGAACTATAAAATCTAGGTAACAGACATGATCCAATTTCTTATGGTGGGTTGATAAACAATTTGGCACCCACCCACAACAACATTTGGACCTTTCAGAGAAAGTAATGACAATGAATTAACAAGCTGGGATAAGGCAAAGATGGAATGAACACATTGTTGAACTTCAGCAAAGATGCAAACCTCTCAAATTATTTTAGGCCACTGTGATTAAATTAGACTTCCAAAGGTTTTAACCTATTACATAGAATAGAATTTTTTAAATACTGTACTGTATTTACTGACAAATCCCAATAATTAGCTGGACTCCAGATGCTAATACATGGCAGAGTACCTTCTGGATACAGTACCTTTATGATCATGAAAAAAAAAACCACTTTTGTATTGCAAATCAAATTATCTTTAATCATCATACGTACCAACAGTTTTTAAATTGAAGAGAAGTAATGACAAGTTGCCTCCTGAAATGATATCTTCATTTTCCAGAAATGTAATTACTTTCCATGGATTGGTAGATATGTTGACTGGAATTTCGTACATCTGACAAACGGTCTGGAGATGTTTAACTGAAAGGTCTCTTCCAAGAGCTACCAGCTGTTGGCGATGTGGTGAAAATCTAGTGATCTTCACTACTGTTGGATATGCTTCATACTTTTCTATTATTTCCTTTAAATATCTCAACCTAGTTAGTTCAATTGTTTCAAACAAAACAGAAATGTCTGTTTGCTTCAAAGCTCCTGCTACTATTAATATTTGGAATAAATCAAATGCACATTTAGCTTCCTCTAAGTCTGTTTTAGCAATTGCAAAATCTGTGTACAGAACTCTTAGCAAGTCCACATATTTTTTGTCTTTCTTGCTGATTGCCTCAGAGAGTTCCAAAAGAAGTTTATTAAAATCTATATTAAAGAAAAGAAATACATTTCATCAAACATACATATTACTGCTTGTTGACAGCTATGCAGAGGTTACTATTAAATTATGCTTAATTATATTGATATATGTCTTGAAAAAGCCCAAATTAAATTGAATCGGGGCATATTAATTGAATTCTTCCTTCAAAACAATTCCTATTCTGTGGTGTTTAAATAAACAATACAAAATGAGATGAGGTTTGATTCTCAACAATATTCAAATGATACAGAAATCATGACTAGGTAATTTAAAATAATACAATACTGTATATGACGCGGGAATAGCATTGTCAATACTAAGCCTATTCAACAGCAGCATGCAAGAAAGAAACATTAAAGTCACCTTCCTGCAATACTTTTGCATAATACTGTAGCTAAATAATCATCCACAACAAATTTTTAATAATTCTCCACAAAATAATTTTCTACTCACGTATGAAATGTTGAAGATGATACTAATATAAATGTGATACAGCACAGTATTATTTTTTTACTATTTTACTAACCTTTGTTTACTTCATTCTCCTTCAAACATTGAAGAAATGTTGACATTTTATCTTCAGTTAAAACATCTGTTTCAAGATCTATTATCAACTTCCATTGATTAGGGAAAACAATGTTGCCTCTGTATAATTGACTAATTTTCTGGACATCCTTAACTGAAAAGCCTCTTCCAAGAGCAACAACATGTTGACGATGTCCTGAAAATCTAGTAATCTTCACATCAACTGGATATGTTTCATACTTCTCAATTATCTCTTTTAAATATCTAAATCCAGTTAGTTCAATTGTTTCAAACAATACTGAAATGTCTGTTGACTTCAGAGTACCTGGTGCTATTAGTAATTGGAATAAACCAAATGCAGATTCAGCTTCCTCTAATTCTGTCTTACTATTTGCCAGATCTGTGTATAGAACCCTCAGCATGTCTACATGCTTTTCACTTTTTTTGCTGATTGCAGTAGAAAGTCTTAGCAGCAATTCATAAAACTCTACGAAGAAATGATTAGTATAATAACAATGAAAATTATGATTATTAGTATTTTACATAAAAATTTTAAAATAACAGCATTAGAAATGTTTAATCAAACAAAGTGGAAGCCAGAGGTTGGTGCAGTGGTTGGGATTCAGACTGTGGTTCCCGGTTCAATTCCCTCCGCTGCTCTGCTTGTGTTTCAGCTGGAGGGCTAAAATACAAAAAAGTGCACTATCCCTCAAAAGGGACGTTTAAGATGTTGGTCCTATGTGCAATATGGCCTATGTGTGTGTTAAAGAATGCAGTCAAAATCTTCAGAAAAGAGTTGTCTCCTGTGTACCCATCACAGGGGTTTAGCCAGAAAAAGAAGATAGGCCGTCCAAAATGGAAGCCAGTGGGCATAGCACTGGGCCGATGGGCATGTCACGCCCATCTTTGGAAATACCCACCGAATATTGGTACGAAAACAACGTACATTCAATCAATAAATGTTGTTTGTATCAAACGTAAATATGATTTAGCTTTAAATTTAATCACGGACCTATTAATAAGAATGTAACATTCGATAGATTTGAAGAATATAAAGAATTTGCTAAAGGTAGACCAGGCCCAATTAGGCTACGCCGAGCTGATTAGGCCAAGCCGTCTCAGTAAAAGTGACCGTCCTAAATAATTGTAGGCCGTCCAAAAGACAGCCGGATGGCTCGCTGGCTAAGCCTATGACCCATCACCACCTGGACTCGACTAAAAAGAAGTTTTCAAATTTTAGTGAATTATCCTTGGTGTTCAAACTGAATAAATCCAATCTATGATTGCATGAAAGAACTGTTACTCATTGTGTATGAATTTTTATGCTCTCCAAATGGGAAATAATTTTGAGAGCTTTTACATTTTAAACACATGAAAAATACTATATAATTACCAAAAAGTATTATTAATTAATAACATTTTACCTGATTCCTTCATCCTTCTTGTATGTTTTGCACCTCTTAGACAAAAATACTTCAATCAAACTGTTGGCTTTACAAACTTTCACTCTAAAATTGATGATCAAAATTAAGATTACTGTAAGAGCTATTCCACATCTCGAGTGCTTTGAGACTTTGGTATAAAGTCCTTCATAAATCCAACTACTACATTACATTACATTACACCACCACACAATAACATTACATTACATACAAAAGTACATAACAGCTAATGTGCAGATAATTCTTAATTGTGACCCAAGCATTACGTTCTAAGGATGACTTACCTAATATAGATGATTTAGTTGACAGCTGTCTCTTATACACATCTAGATGTGTATAAGAGACAGCAGTAGCACACCTCCACAAGTCTTCAGAATTGTAGCATCACATCTTAACTCATCTGCAGTTGTTTGAATATATTTGCAATGTTTGACTGGTATGGTTTCCTAAAGTCAAGTAAAGAAACCTAATCAATCTGTGTAATTTTACCACACCACAAAATACTGTAAACCAATCTTTTCATACTAAACATACAAAAAAATCCAAGGATATTAGCCCAAAATAAAACTTGGTGTCGCACTCAAGCCTGACCAACCCAAAATCTAGGGTCCATAGTTGAAAAATGTTGCATAGTAGCAATTCCAAAATTTACAGCATTCATTATGAAAAGAAGGCCCTCTTTGGTTGCAAAAGTGATCTTGGAAAGAAGCCTAATTTCAAAAAAAGGCCCATCTCAAAAAGAAGCCCATCCAAGGTTCCTAAAAAAAGAAGCCCAGGGCTTGTATTCAAGGTTCTACATATCAGTTCCGCCTGCTTTTTCCTCATGTTTTTACCCAGTCCGATATGCACTCTAGTAATTTAACTAAGTCGTACACAAGCATTTTTTTCCTAAATCCATGCTGGTAACAGGAAATAATTTGGTTATTTTCAACAAATTCCAAATACTCTAGGGGCTGAGTTACGTGATGTGTACACTTTCTCATGCACTCAATCTCTTTTGTGAATATGGGTTCATGATTGAAAAAAGCCATTTTGAATATTTTATATATTATAGGTCAGAGGTCAATAAGGGCATTTCAGGCCATTTGGGACAAACTTTTTCATTAGGTTAAATATATATATATATAT